AAAAGGACAGCAACTTGTCTGTTTCCCTTCCCCCAATTCCCCAGCACTGTTCCCATCCCCCCAATTCCCCAATAAAATCTTTAAAAAAAAAAAAAAAAGGAAGTCAAGTAAGATATTTCTCCAAATACATTTCTGAATTTAAAATTTCAGTTACACAAATTTTAGGCAACAACAAGTGTTTCTCTCGCCGTAATAGTGCAAAATACATACCTTAACTCTACGAGTAATGCTTAGGAACTGACAAGTTTTATCATAAAGTTCTTCCAGGTTTTCTCTGTCCCAGTAGAAATCAGGAGTAATCAAGAAGTCTGAACTCAAGTTTATACGGTGTCTTAAAAAAAGGAAAATCATAACTTTAATTCTATCTTGAATTAAAAATCATGGTCTCTTATATTTTTATTTACATGGTGTTTTAGGACAATGTTTTTTAATGCTGACCTTTTGAGAAACAGAACTAAGACAGTAATACTTTTGAGAAACAGAACTAAAAAATTTGTAAGAATTAAAAAATTTGCAACCAAATTAATTCAATCTTTAATATTAACGTTATTTATGAAGTAGTTTAAAAACAAAATGAGAGTTTTTTTTTCCTATTTCTAAACTTTTTTTATTAACATTTTTTACAATATACACAAACATATTTTCTTGTGGACAGGTAACGACATGGCTCAAAAATAAAAAGGTAAAAATTGACCAATCTTATTGTCGTGTTCCTGTGAGACTGGGGCTGGGGAAGGCGAGGAGTGGTGGCGAAGGGTGAAGAAATACAAGAGCCAAGTACTGAGTTTATGCGGGCCAGGGGTCTCAAGCCTCTGTGGACTGGGCCCCGAATGAGGCGGGTGCAAAGCATTTATTCTCCGCTGCCACAAAAAGTAAATGTGGAGATCCCATCCCAGTTTGTTGATTCGATGTGTCTGACAACTGCTTCATCGGAAACTCCTGTTCAAACACAAGCTGTGTTTTCACACATACATATGATCCTTATGGATGGAGTCAGCATTGAGACCATCAGATAAGGACGCTTTCCCCAGATTATTCCCTCGGGTCTCAGCGTTCCGAGACACTTCCTATGACTTCAGGGATCAGTGCGCAGGAGCATTCCAGTCGGCAGCTGCAAGGTGACATCTTATTCCTATTCTTAATCCCATTTTCCCCTTTCTCCCACCCCCTATAGGTAACCAACGTTAGTTTTCTCTGTATCCTTCCGGTGTTTATGCAAATGCTGGATAAGCAAATAGATACACATATAAACACACACTCACATAACTTTCTCATTTTGTATCTTGTTTTGTAAATAAGAGGTCTAAGCTTACTTTTAAGTGAACACTTACGTTGTAGAAGTAACATATAAATAGCTGTTCACTATATAAAAAAAATACCCTAGAGTGGGTTTAAGAAAACAGTGGTGGGCCCTCTTACCCTAACACATAACTCAAATCCTTTAGGCCCTGCCAACACTTTGCTGTATCCTTCCAGATCTTTTTCGGTGCAAACATGAGTGTGTATACATTCTTGTGGGTGCAGTATGTACACATATCAAGATAAATATGAATACTAACTTGTTTGCTTTCACAAGTGCGATCATACCATATATAATTTAGGTTTATTTTCTCACCTCATATAACGTGCCATGTTTCCATTCATAGATTTACCACATTTCTTTTAATAACATAAGCATTTTTATTGTAAAGAGAAGAAAACTTAAGAACAGTAAGACTGCAGAGATTATTCACAAACCTAAGTATATTCAGTCCTAACTTCTGAGTTTTGGTATTATGATTTGCTGTATGAAATTCTGCTTATATTGCCAAGACAGAGGAGAGAAGAATCTCTCGACCCCACTTCTTAGAGAACTCAAGGCTTTAGATACGCTTTGGGGTGCTCCAGACAAAGGGGGTTTTAATTTTTGTTGGTACTCTGGATCGGGGCCTCTGAGCTATGAGGAATGCACAGATGATGAAACACTGGGCCACTTCTCTCCAGGCCCAGTATCTAAGCAGAACGTGGAAAAACAACTCTTAGGTAAACTACTTACAATGAACTCTAGTAACTCATCCCATAGACTGGAGGGGACGAAACACTGAACTTGGCTGCCTAGTGAGAATAACGCCAAGATTCAAGATTTTCATTCCATAAATCCTGGAAAATTACAAGAATAAAGTAACGCTTATTTAAAATGATGCACAGCTATCTTTCATCAATTTTAAGACACAGTTCTTCCCATTTTACCACCTCCAAAAATGGGAGGCATGTTTAAAACTGATGCTATCTTACAGGTGGCAGTTGGGACTTAGTTGTCATTGCTTTAAACAATTTATTTCCCTTATGCTTTCCTTTTTATGTATGCCCCAGAGGGAATGTGACAGAATCTACACTCGAATAAGACTAAAAAAGCTATTTTGGCAAGTGCGAAAAGCAAATTCTCGGATCAAAAAAGCATTGTATCATGGTTTAACTGGGAGCATATTTCCTCTCCTGTGGCATCTTATGGTGTCTCTGTCAATGAAATACGGACATAACTTTTCTGTAGTAATTAGGTCTATTTAGCATTATGATGCAGTGATATATTTTTACTGAAAATTCCCATTACCCAAATTCTAGAATGTGTCTTTCTACCTTCAAAGGACACTGACTATGCTCCCTGATGTAGGTTTAATGTATTGGGTTGTCGGAAAAGTCATGATGCATTTTTGCAATGACAAACATAGAAAAAATACGTCATGACTTTTCCGACAACCCAATAGATTATGATCTCTTTTGCACGTGCAGAGTTTCTCCCAGTATAGTCCTAATACAGCCCAATTGCTTGTAACGGGTAAGAGTTCTGCTTATAGAGAATGGAACCAACACAGCTGCAAGCCCCATAAAGGTACAGATGTTGGCTCTTTACTACAGAAATACAGAAAGGTTTTCTTAAGATCATTAAATATATCAAATATATTATATTACAGAGGAAATTTTACCTTAGGGCAAACAGTTCACCCATTTTCTGCATAACTTCTTCATGAGATAGTTTCACTTTCTTCCCAGCTTTTAAAGCCTATTTTGGAGTGAAAGAAAATACATACATACATACATACACACACACATTCATATATCCAATAAGTAATACAACCATAAAGCGAATTCTGAAGCAGCATAATTTTAATGTGATGCAAATGATATATCTTGGATGACTGTCTCCCAGTCATCTCACTCTGAGATAATCAATCTTATTAGGTAGAAATTTTATATTCCCTTTTTTCATTTCCCTTCTCACCAGCATTTTCTATGATGTATATTCCCAATCTCTTATTGAAAATTCAGGACCTCTTCCCTGAGTATAATTAGATTATTCTTACACAGTAAAAAAAAAATATTTACAGTAAACACGATTTTTAATGTATTTTCAAATTTTGATATAACCTTATAGGTATTTTTCATGCCACTATTTTTCTTATAATTTAGGAAAATACTTTTTCTTTAATCAAGAAAAGTGCTCATAATTTCCTTCCTTAAAGAGGAAACACTTCACTTTTTTTCTTTAATTCAGTTATTAAAAATATTGCACTATCAGAGGGGCCGGCTGAGTGGCTCAGTTGCTTAAGCGCTCGCTCGAGTCTGAGCTCTGAGCGACAGCAGTTTGATGCCCGGCCTGAGCTGAGCTGCCGCTGAGCTGCCAACAGGTGGCAGGATGGCTCAGCTAAAAAAAAAAAAAAAAATTGCACCATCAGAGGAAAGTAATTTGAATTTTAAGTTTTAAAAAGTAAAAAAAAAAGTTTATTTCATCATTTTATATGTAACAGGGGGATTCCTTTTTTCACTTAAATTCAGTATACTTAGTGCTTATTATTTCTTTATTGTACTCCTAAATATATTATTATAGTGGGGAATTTGTATTTTTCCCAAATAGCAATCAGTCCTTGAAAAGAAGCATAAAATTGGTATAATTACCTCTGGAATTGACTGAATAGATTCAACAAATTTATCCAGTGATGCCTCCCAAATAGCCAGTTTCACTGGGGAAAAAAGTTCACAATGGAACATTTCTTTATCACCATGTTCATGTTTACACAAAATGCATTATTGCACAGTACCTGCACTGCCATTTCAACAATACTTTAAGAAGCAAATGTGTTAAAAATTTGGAACTGAAATTTAGAAATAGTTCATTATCATACAGGACAGCACTACAGTGGAAAAAGAAGAAATGAAGTCGATTTCGAAGCCCTGTTGGTAGAATTCATGATTTGCTAATATTGCACCTTGGAAACCCAGGCAGGGTGAGGAGCACCCTGGACTGAAGGCTGGCTCGTAGGCGGTGCAGGAGCCTGGCTCTCCCATCTTCCCTCCCACTCCTCAGGGCTGAGTGCAGCTCAGAAGCCCCTGAGCCTCCAAGACTGTGGTGTGGACGGGCCACAGCAGCAGCAGGCTGGTGTGGACTGATGGCCAACAAATTCATAGAGAACGTCTACAGTTTTATACAGGTGCCTGGATCTTTCAGAAAAAACCTAGAGACACTGTGACTCTCTCCCATTTCTGTGAAAAACTAGAGTGTATTTTTCTACACAGAGACTTGTGCCAATCACACAGGGTTGGGCTTGCTCTGCCTGGATTAAAGACAACCTAAGCATGATCACCACATAGAAGGAGGGGAAAACAAAGGTTAATAATAATAATGAGATAAAAAATAGTTTTGGATAGGGGAGGCTTTATTAATATAATTAATAAGAACGAGTAGCTTTAGCCCAGATGATTTATTTTATACGCTATACTTTTTCTCTTGGAGGGAAAATAAAAAAGAAAAGGAATGTAAAACTTTGCTGTGTATTCTGTGAAAACATGTCAAAATCTTTACTTAACATTTAAACTTCCCTTGATGAAGTGAAAACCATGGAAAACTTTCTCGGATGAGTAGTGACTTACCTGAAAGGCAGAGAGCATTTGAGAAAGCAAATTTCTCTAGAATGGCATCATCTAAATCCAGCTCTGAATTTAACCTGATTTCCCCTCTGTGAAGTTTTGACTGTCCCCTGTGAAAAGGGAAAAAAAAAAGTATTTTCTAAATCTTGAAAAGCACTTTAATTTTTTTCTTTTAAAAAATGTCACGTTAACCAGAAACTAATATAAAAATTTTTTTAATTAAAACAAGTTAAAGGAAAAGAACAGAACATTAAAGTAATTGACAAACACATATACACACACACAAAATAAAAATGCCACCTTATAATCTTTCTAGGTCATTTTGGAAATTTGTATCTACAGTCTATTATAATTGTTTTATATACCCTTTGATCCATGTCTAAAAACTTATCCTAAAGAAATAAAAAATGCAAGTAATTTCATGTCTATAAATTTATCCTAAAGAAATAAAAGATTGAAAGAAAAAATTGTGTCCAAACAACTTTTTATGGACAAATGTTTCATACTAAAAAAATTGGAAAGAAACTAAATGAACAATTGAACAGTTCATTTATAGCAATTCCATACAGCAAAAATGAAAAGGCAAGTTTTTCGAAGGATATTTAATGGAAAGAGAAAAAAGAATCACAATATGTTGCTAAGTGAAAAAATGTTGAAAACTATATACACCGTGTAATCTAAAATCACAGGGGTATGGTGGGGGTGGGGAGGGAGATGGGAAGCTACGAAAAACTAAGGTATATGTACAGAGAACTCTGGAAGGAACTGGGGAGACAGGGAAAAGGATGGAATTTGGGAATATAAACACCACAAGCAAATGGGAGAAGTACAGGGTAAGCGTCCCCAAAAGGCGTGAGGCAAGAAGAGAGACGGACAAAGCAGGGTGGACAAGGAGGCCTAATGGGAGGGCAGAGAGGCAGAACCTGCTCTGATAACCTCAGGTGGAGGGAAAAAAGGAGAGACAAAAAAGAGAACAGCATTGACAAGACACTGTTTTTTCTTTATTGTGAAATAAAATTTTTAAAATTAGTTTCAGCTGCACAACACAATGCAATAGTTATACTTTTTACCCCTCAAAGTGACAACCCCCCTCCCTGAATCTGCCGTCCCACTTCCCCCCCATATCATACACATCTATTACAGTTCCCTTGACTCCACACTATACTCTACATCCCATGACTATATATACATATATTCAATTATAGTTGACTTAACAATATTATACAACATCAGCTACAAATACCATAGGATCTCACTTATATGTAGAATCTAAAAAACTGAATGAACGAGCAAAGTAAACAGAAATAGTCTCAGAGATATAGAGGAAAAACTGATGGCTGCTAG